GATCGAATTCTAATGTTGTCTTAATTTTGTTAGAAATTGCCTTTTTATATATCTTGTATACGATGGAAAGCAGACTGATCCGCCTGTAATTCTTCAAGTCCTTGTCATCTCCTTTCTTATATATTAAGATGATGTTAGTATTCTTTCAAAATTCTGGCACCCTCACCATCTGGAGGTTAATAAGGTTACACACAACCTAAAAAAGGTGGCGAGTTGGCATGGTGTGCCGCTCATATTCGCCGCCTTAAACAAACTGGCGAAGTTGGGCCCTCACATCAATGGAAGTCATGCTCAACAGGCGAGAGGCTGCAAAAAGAAGGATGCGTGGCTGTTCACGAAGTACGCCACTGGAGTGGTTTACAAAATACCCGTACCGTGCAAGAAGAGCTATGTTGGCCTCACGGAGCGTTGTGTCAATGAACAAGCGAGGGATTATGCTCTCCCGGTAAAGAATAAGGACAGTGCGTATTTAAGCGCGTATGTCAGTTCTTGTAGATGCACACCATGCTTCACTCAGATTAGGATCCTGGGAAGCAGTAAAAGCAAGTTATCACGAGAAATTTTGGAGGCCTATCACATAAAGAAACTGGGTACAATTGTGTTGGCAAAACGTCACTCAACCTGTATGAGTCGGAAACACGTTATCAAGAGAGGATGTGTTGAATAGCGTGATTAGGTAAGCGATGGTCTGATCATTTAGCACATGTGCTGACAAGAAGTGGGTTTATAATAGCCTGTTTCCTCAAAGAATGAACAGTTGTAAGTGAGTGCCCATGGTGTCTATGTGTTTTTTTCCTCTGTGTGGTTGTGAATTCCGCAGTAAGTTCACTATTTAGTCTAGGCGTAATTATTGACGGTTGTAGTGTAACAGCAATTATAGACATGGTAGCTGACCATTTCGTAATAAGCAAATCCTTCGCACAGCAACTGAAGAAACTAATGACTGTATGGGATGGTCCTGTGATCCACACAACCGGTGGCACTTTCATGTTGCCAACAGGACGATGCATAGCACGATTGACTCTCAGCAGACGTACTTACCCAACGTACTTTAGTCTTGCCGCAGTGCGACTGCGATGTTATCTTGGGCATAGATTTTCTTACCAAACATCGAGTAGTCATCGGCCTTAAACCAAGACTCATCACACTTTACATCGGCCAGTCCATGCAGTCAGACAACTCTAGGGCACCATGTCTTCTTGAGTGTTCTAGATCAAGTACGCATCCCACCAAGGTCAAGTGTCATAATAGCAGCGGCTACAGGTGACTCAGACGTTGTTGTTGAAGGTATGATTGAAGGGAACACCAGTTCCTTTTAGACCAAGAACTTGGCATCGCTTACTTCAAGAATGGACTAGGTGGAGCAGTCGTAACTACCTTCGACAAGGAACACGAGCACCTAAACAAAGGCACCATGATTGTTTTCTTAGACGAAGTAGGGGATATCCCAGACATATTTGCCATCTCCGGCCATACTCCCCAAGACTTGTCCACCTAAAACCGGACCCCCGTGTTCGACATTGATGCTGAGTTCCCCTGCAATAGGCGAAATGAGACCCGCATTCTCCGAGAAAGCTACGGTGACTGTTTTGAAACCTCATTCAAGATGCCGCAAGCATGCATTGCCAAGCATTGGATCATAGCCAGTGAGCACGCTTGTCTTCTTTACCAAAGCCTGCATAGTGTGTCACTGTGAGAAGGGAAGCCATTTAGAATCATATGGACGAAATTCTTCCTAATGGTGTCATATAGCCTTCAAAAGGGGGGGAGCCTCCTCTTCTGTTTTGACTATCGACTACTGAACAAGATAACAAAGAAAGATGTCGATTCACTTCCAAGAATAGATGACACCCTTGACTGAATCTCTCATGCCAATGCTTGTCCATGGACCTCAAAAGTGAATATGGGCAAATTGAAATCTACATAAGGTACAGAAAAAGACTGCTTTCATTACTCCGGATGGGTTATTCTAGTTTGAGGTGATGCCATTTAGGCTTTGCTCCACACCGGAAACATTGCAACGAGTAATGGACATAGTGTTGGCAGGCCTAAAATGGCAAACTTGTCTTGTTATCTCGGCAACGTAGATTTTGCGGTGATTTTCAACAGGACACCTGCACAGACAGAAGGTGCAATAAAATCTTCAGGACTCACCTTAAAGCCTAAGAAGTGCCATTTAGCATATCAGAAGGTGTTTATTTTTTGTCCTCATCATCAGCACTGGTAGTGTACAACTTCATAAGACATCTGCTATCAAGCATTTTTCATGTCCGACAGACAAGAAAGCCATACAAAGATTCCTTGGCTTGTTTGCTTACTATAGAAGGTTTATGAGAAATTATCATTCATGGCTAAACATATGACCCAGCTGACAAAAGGCTGATGTGCCATTTCAATGAGAAGCACTGCAGGAAGGAGCGTTTAGGGAACTGAAGCATGGACATTGAAGAACATTGTGAAAAAATCCAAACGTTATGGCTTGTAAAAGGATGGTGGCAGCAAAAGCAGAAAAGGGGATACCAACAGTCTGCTTTCCTTTCTAAACTAAAAGATGTTTGACAAAGAGGCAATATTGATGAGAGACAGTGAACCAGATTTACAGAGTCATCAACCCAATAAATGGGCAAACCAATAGAGAATTGCTCTCAAGTTTACTGCTCTATGTCATTCAGCAGTTAATGGGCTAGTGAAGCAAGCTAATTGAGACATAAATCAGTACTCAAGCATAGCTCATCATACCCAGCCCTAAAAAACAGCTCTGAGGTGCACACCACTTTTCTCTGCTCTTGCAAAGCAACATATTTACTCGCCAATGAGACTGTGAGTTGAAGTGATGGCCAGCCTGTCAGAAGAGAGAACTAAAGAGGGTGAAGCTAAGTACAGAAAAAGAGTGAAAAAGAACTTCCACGAAAAAATAAAAATAAAGCTGTACCAAGAATAAAGGTTAGGGACTTTGGGCTAATGAGCAAACAACTGTAATACTCAAGATCAAGTCACAGAGGGCCATTCTCTATATGTGGCCTTAATGAAGTAAGCGCTGTAGTGTGTGTGCCTTTTGCTGTGGGGTACTGGCTTTCAACCACGAAGCCATTATTATAATCGCATATTCTGATGCTTGTTGGCAATGGATGCTTGTACCACGCATTATTACTGCAATATTTCCTGTTGCATTAAGAAGAATCTATACAGGACGCATGTGTTTGTGAAGCATGAAAGCTACTTTCACTACATTCACAAGCAGAGGAAGTTCTTTTCACTGTTTTCACAAGCAAAGGCGTGGTCGTGTCGATTCTGCTTTCGGCCACGGTAGTGAATGGATGCAGGATGTAGGGCTCCGTCGGAGTGGCTACAGCGACCCTTGAGGGCCGTGGAAACAGGTTGACTGAAGAGTATCAAGTGATTCTGCCGCATCTGCCAACACGACGTGCTGCTTTGCATACTGTATTTTTGCACGGTGACGTTCGAGCAAGACCCTATAGGGTTGAAAGCTTCAGATACTTGTCCCACTGGACTGCTGTTGGATGTTATTGCACTCGGGGCGTACCAGATTAATCACTACTGGGCGATTACCCTGACCAGAGAGGTCGCATGAAAATCAAAGAAACTGTTGTCCTTAAAGGAACTTCAGGGGCATGAACACCAGTGTCTTAATTATAGTCGATCCCCAGGACTGGCAGATAAATCTGTGGCTTCATTGGCTGCTTCACGGAATCGCTGATGATAATGTGCGGACAAAACTCGTGGCTTTCGCCAATGTGGTCGAAGTGAATCGAGATTGTTGGAGAGTCGACGGCGTCAGTGACGAAGGGTCGATGATCAGAACTGTGCTACTCAAGTTAAAGAGTAGAATTATGGTTGAGGACCTTTCGAACCAAGTACGCGTTGCAGGAGAATTAGACCTAGTCGTGGCGCCGGGCACACCTATGCACTGCTTGCGGTGCAAAGGGACTGGTCATGTACGACGCAACTTTTGTATAGGGGATTCGAACAGCCCTAGACGAAAGTTAATGCCCTACCAGTGTTTTGAATATTTTGAATGCCCTACCAGTACTCCGAATATTTTTGAAGTGTTTGTTATTCAATTCGATTTAATTGAAATTGCCATTTGTACTATTCAAACTTCCTAAAGACAAATGCAGTCAACGCCCTCTTAAAAGTGACCCTTTCAGACTTGTGATATGCCTCACCTCATCACATTCTCATATTGTGGCGAAGGTACCTTTTAGGCTCCTCTGCTGTTGAGCAGAGGAGCCTAAAACAGACAAAATACAGTCATTCGATTAAAAGTGACCCCTTCTGATTTTCTCTATGCTTCACCTCATCACAATATTGTAATACGGCAAAATTGCATTTCAAACTCCGCTACAGTTGCTGAAGTATAGGCTCATGGAAACACTGGTTAACATGGAAATGATATAGATGTGGTGGAAGTGGGGGTTTAATTAATGCTGTTTTGGGCATGAAATTTAGGCAGAAGATCTGAAATATTCAATGCCAAAAATTTGTAGCATTCAAAATTACAAATGTTCTTGTATGTTGACAGATTGGGAACTCTTGACTCAAAGAGAGCACAATTAACCTTCAGTTGGGCTTCTACAGGAATTGAAAGAGGAGGAGAGACTGAGCATCTTTGCTTTTGGCACATTAAGTGTTGTCGGCGGCACTTTGGTTGCACCAAAGCATGTGCTAATACAATTTGACTTCTGCATCATTTCATTCTTGATAAGATCCTCTCGAGCTTTTTTTCCACAACTGACCTTCAAACTATTCAAATATATTTTATAACTATTCGAGAACTATTCTAAAAATATTCCATTCAATTTGCACTCATGCTCCGATATTCGAATTCTTTTCAACCTCGAAATTTTGCTATTCGCACAGCTGTTGTGTAATGGATGCTTGCGAGATGCATATCAACAAGGTACACACTCAAGTAACTTTTGGTGACACATTTAGACTCTCTTTCGGTGGAGTACTACTTGGATGTTTATATCTTACAGGAAGTCATGGACTATGTTTCCACCAAAGGATGGAAGCTATCTGTATCCTACAAGAATACCGTTTGAGGAGTCCAGCATATTCAGCCTGGTCAACTTCAAAGAAGTTGATTTTGTGACATTTCCAGAATTGCAAGTAGGCACACACATACCAGCAATCCCGCAATGTGTGTAATGAAATGTCCTATTCCAGTCGGCAAGACCTTACCATGTGGTGCTCGAGCCCGGAGATGTTCTGCTTGTACCTCACCACTGGTGGCATTATGTGTCTTGTCTCATGGCTGCACTCAGCATCAATTCTTGGATTCCTGTGGTATGGCATGTCTTTCTTGACGTGGGGCCTTGGCAACTAAAGGTGCTCGCCTGTTCGCAGCATCAAGACAAAGACTCCCAGCTCCTTGAGGCAGTCACACGGACCCTTGCCACTGGACTAATACCATGCTATGAAGATGAAGCGGAACACTGGGTGAACATCAATGAGGCAAGCATTGTCCCGCCTGTGGCGATAAAACTACTTTTGTACCAGTCGGCTCGTAGGTGCCCCAGTCGACTGGGGTTTAGCTTGTGACCAATTGTGTTTCGCTATTGACCGCCATCTGCAAATTGGGGAATTTTTTAGTGAAGTTACCTCTCGCTATGAATAGACAATTGAGCTTATTTACTATTTTCCTACCTCAAACTGCAGTGTACCTCATAATTATATTATGTCAAACCCCCAGAACTTATGTTTTTTTTTTAATGTATCATGACACAGGCCAAGTGCACATTCAAAGTTACTCAGAGCACCATAACATATATGTTTTCTAACACTACCTGGCCCTGGCATTTGAAATGTTTCTACAGAAGTTTCGTTGCAACTTAATCACTTGTTACACAGTGGTGCATGATACTACATTGATTTAGTCTGCCTTAAATGTATTAGTATTAGGTACAGCTGATGAAACCATGACAAATGTTTATATTGCACTCTTCAGCAAACTTTACATGCCAGGTTTGTTTTTGCAGTACAGTAAAACCTATTTAATTCAAACTTGGTTGATTTGAACTTAACTTGAACTGTTGACGTAGTCCCGGCACAGTCCTTTGGATTTCTATGGGCCAAAATTTTTGATAATTTGTATGTGTCAGAATTGACAATTGTCCATTCAAACTTAAAACACTGTCGGCGAGGAGCGTTTCCAATGCTCCTTGCAACTAAATTCACTGGAGATGCAAAACAATGAAGCAGTAGCATTTCTTCAGCGCAGTGGACACTGCCCTGGAGTTCTTGGGCAAGCTGCAAGCGATGCTCATCAGAGTTACGCTCCGCCGCAATGGTCTATTGGCTAAGGTACTCGGCTGCTAACCCGCAGGTCGCGGTATTGAATTCCGGCTGCAGCAGCTGCATTTTTGATGGATGCAAAAATGCTGTAGGCCCGTGCGCTAAAAAGACGTTAAAGAACCCCAAGTGGTCGAAATTTCCGGAGCACTCCACTACGGGGTCTCTCATAATCATATGGTGGTTTTGGGACATTTGACTGCACATATCAATTAGTCTTATAGAGCAACAGCAGAACAAAAGCAGGAAAGCGAAATTTCTGATTCCTTTTAATTTTGATTGCATCAACTCTGCTATGTAGATAAACACGACGAGGAACATAAATATAGTTTGACATTAAGGCTCACAGTTCACATGAATGCATATCCATGCTTGTTTTTGGCTTATTACTGACTGATCAATGATGTTCACTGTTAAAGCTTTGTGGGCTTAATCGAAGAAATTAATGCCACAAACATGTTGTAGCACACGGTTCACAATAACAAGACTAGAGGTGGCTTGCTCATTCTAGCACGTGCCCACTAATTCCAACTCTGCTCAATTCAAACAATTTTATAGTCCCTTTCGAGTTCGAACTAACCAGCTTTTGCTGTAAACGCAAGAACTCCTCTAAATTGAGTCAAGATATTTGCTTTTATAACAATTAAGTTTCCCTTAAACTTTGCATTTAAATGCAGCAAACGTAATTGAAGTGGTTGGCAAAAAAAAATTCCTATATTCGCATAGCTTAGACCACGATAAAATGCTTTCCCTTAAGAGTTGCAACTCTTGGGCCCGATGCTAGCATAAAATGTCTGTCAATTAATCATCAAGCCTGTTAGGTGACGCTTCCAATAACTGTACATCTTTGTTCTGCAGGAGCTAACATCACCTGAGCAAAACCTGATGTACTTGCAGACACTTTTGCAGTCCCATCATTCAGAGAATGCAACTCTGCGTGGTGCATCAACGAAACTTCCGTTTGAATCTGTCTCGCAATTCAGTTGGGAAGACTATGCAAGTAAAACTGGCTCCACATTGATACATGAGCGCTGCTCTGACATAAGACAAGTGGCTGGCAGGAACAGAATGTCAACAAGGCATATAATCAGCTGTTTTCTTCATCCATCTGTGGCAGAAGTTATTTCAAAAAGGCTAAAAGAACTTGTGAAATAAAGGTATTGATTGTTATGAATATAGCAGTGCACATGGTTATTTTCTTACTTCATGAAGCTTTATTATGTAGGAATTTTACTCAAGTGATCACCTGTTACGACAGCCAGCTCCACAGTTATGTACCATTCACATATTTTGCAGGCTTCTTTCTTTTTAGGTTTGTAAAAATAATAAAGTTTCATCTTGAATCAAATAGTGGCCAGAAATATTGCAAATTGTATTGAACATTGAGTACTAAACATTTTATTGAAAATAATAGCAGACACATATAAATCTCCTCATATCCTAAAGCAAGTAACGCTGCAGGTACTCTACAAATTGTCTGTAAGAAAGAGCAGCTGTTTCCCATGACCTGTCTTCAGGCCCTCTCGCTGTGATGTTGCCTGTTGCACTTACAGTAGCAGGCAAGGTATTGCAAATAAATTTGGCAATAAAGGGCAGCTCCATGGTCTTTTCATTATGCTGATAGAACTGCCATTGCAGTCGGAAACGGTGCTCCGGCAGAAGGTCCCCCCCCCCCCATGATCCGAGGACGGTGCTTCATCGTCATGAGTGCTTCAGGCGAAAAAATCTTCCAAGCGCCATATCGCACCAGCGCTTCAACTGCACACCGGAACGTTGAGAGTTTCTGAATGAGTGATACTGCTTGGCAGTGTCAACTGCACAGTGTGAAAAAATTTTCAGATGTGAACCCCCGAGAGTTTTGCAGGTCAAAGTTGGAATGTTTTATGCCACTTGCGGCATATGCAACCAAATTATGCAAGAGGACCATGTTACAGATGGTAAAATTGACAACAAATAATACATTAATGAATAAAATGTAAAAAAATCAATGGTATTCAATTTCCACTTTCAATGAATTGAATTGCGGTGACTGCCACCCCTACTTCCCAACATTACCCCTTGGCTGGCATGCATAAGTTCTGCGCGAGTGATACTGACACCCAAAAGTCAAGCAAACAAACTCTTTTTCACAACAGCACATATTTGAATGTAAGTAGGACAGGACAAGGTAAAAGCCGGTGGCGGCCCTAGCACATAAACGCAGGAATGAACTCTCTCTGGTCTCCGTCCTACAGTGTTCACCTCCAAACCATCCCCCAAGCCTTCAAGCCTGGGCAGGAGAAGGCCCTGATGAGGCAGAAATGCACTTGCGAGCTTTTCTCTGCCCACACGATGCAGACCAGCCTTTGTAATAAGACCGGCAGACTCGAAAATTCCAACTTTCCGCAGGCAGTCTTGCACGCCATAGCCGAACCTTTGCTACGATAGCTGAATATTAGAATAAGCACTCGAGAGAACAGGAGCACGCTTAACCACTGGTGGTGCCATACTTGCACAAGTGGAGCCATAACCCCAAGAGGGTGGCTACTAGTTTGCGATTCACGTTTCGTTGTTCACCCCGACTTGTGCTATAATTTCTCGTGCTATGCTGCAAGGGTGCCAAAAAAGGCATGAGACACCCTTCAGGCGGTGCTATGAAATCCTCCAGAGTTTGGGCAAGTCCTACATGGAATAAATGGGACAGTGACTTAGCGAGTGCGCCAGAAAGCATGCCAATAGTAAGAGTGACTGTGAGCATCTTTCCACGCATGTCATGTTCGTGTGTGCCACATTTTGAGCAAGTTAGGATTATCGGCAAAAGCAGAGATCAAACATCAAGGGTGCTAGAAGCGCACCTAATTAGAAGCACTGTGCCTGCTTGTCTTAGTGACACATCTGTTGTACTCCATCAATATGAGTTGTCCTCTGATTAACTGCTAATGCATCGACATGTAACTCTTACACACCTCTGCACATGTGTGGAAGTTGACCTGTTTTTCAGCCTATGCAGGCAATGAACAGTTGGTAGTTTGGCACTTGTCAACCTCTTTTTTTTTTTATCTGCACTTTTCCATGTTTTTAGCTTCGCGTCAGTTGCAAAGTGTTCCACAAACTAGGGCACCAACTCGCCGAAAAGCAAGTTCTTGATTGGTCGATATACAAGCGCCATCTGTTGTGAATGCGGTCGCACAACCATTCTATCTTGTCTCGCACGACTGCCACAACGGATGAACTAGTTTTACTTAGTTTTCCGAATTTGCGCAAGCACAGATAACAGTGTGTAGTCGAAAAGCGTGAAATCCCGATTGGCTCAATGCCAACATCATACGTGTTTTGTGAAGAAATAAGCAGCAAGGAGTGGAGAGAGCTAGTAGGAAGAGTGAAGGAGTCGAGATAGATACTCTTGCCTTTCAACTCCATGTGCCTTTTTAACTATGTGCTGGATATCAAGGGTGCTACACAGAAGCTCATGTTTCGGGACAAAAACATTTTGCCTAAAGGCACCGATGCTTTGGAGAAACTGAGGTCTTTTCAGGCACAGCAGAGAAGATTCAAAAAGCTTGGCCATAATTTGAAACCACCACAGTTAGAGTCACTCTATCGCAGTCATTAATTTTTGAAGCTGACTTTACTTCGAGGTACAAATTCCATGCGCACACTAATACCTCTAAGCAAGTGTGAAACTTTAGATATGCCAATGCTTTATTTTGACATTAGACAGTCAGTCAACGAACTGTATTCACCAATTGTCTTGAGGAGCCGATGCCCCTCAAGAGGGCGGGTCGGCTGCGGGCCCTCTGGACAGCCCTGATTTGGACCTTTCAGTCCGAGCTGATGATTGCAGTCTTCCAGGAGCCCTCTGTGCCGAGAGGCTCGCCATCACGCAGCGCCGTACACTGCCAGAGCATGTGGAATAATGTGCATAGTCTTATTGCTATGAGGACAGTGAGGCTTTATGCTGTCAATAAACTTTTTATAAACTAAGGGTAAGTAAGGGCGACGGGCAAGTACCGGTTTGCAGCATTCGTAGAGCGATTGACTGGGCCCTTGAGAGTTGTGGGTGCGGGAACCTACGCCTCGACAATTGATAGTGCTTACATATTTTGTTCAAGGTGAAATGGGAATCGAGCTGCTCGATGCCTTCCCCAAATTAGAGGCCGAACGCCCTTAGCGGTGGAGCAGTGCAAGTGCGTGGGCATGGGCAGACTCATTGGTATTAGGGATAACAGGTTGGACATTTTTTGCATGGCTCGCATTACTGATATGGACACTACCATGATGTTGGCTTACCGTATAAATGCTGAGGCCCTGTATGGCCAAGTTGAAATGACTTCAGGTTCCCAAGCATACAAAATGGCAGTCTAAGCCACAAAGTAGAGGAGCGAAATAAATGCTGCAATATATTTCATAAGCTGGTGAGTTCATAGTATCTTGATGCCTGGGTACAGTACGAGCTGAAACTAGTGTTTAAAACACACCGCCGTCACCTTTTCATGGTGCACTCGTGCTTATTGCGGAAAAAAAAATTAAGATCCTCCATTACCACATCCACATGCAAATGAGCAGCATGATATAAATGGGTCGAAATTTGATTTGAACACCCGACTTTTCCTACAGTTTGCGGTAAACTACAACATAGCCATTTCAGTCCACTGGATTAAACTTTTTGCCGAAGTTCCTTCAAGTGAAGTTTTGCTGTCTATCGGCAGTCATGTCCATGGCAGTGAAATATCAGCATTCATAGTTAACTTCTCGCTACAGGTCTTCTCGCTTTCGAATTTCAGTTAATTGTTGCAAAAGGATTTCAAAACAGAGCCTTGCCCCCTCAGACAAACCAGTCTCTCCCAGGTGACAAAATGCAATATGTAGACTCCGCATTACATATGAATTAAGAGTAAGGCCAAAGCTTGTCTGATACAAAATTTCTTGACTTGTAGGCAAGGACAAATGGGAGAACAGAGTTAGAACAGTGGGAGGTTGTGAGCAGCAGCAGCTCATTGCAAGAGGAGGCTGCAAATGAACTAGTATGAGAAAAATAAAAGCCACGAGGGTTTGCATTTCTTTTATTAACAGGGTGATCGATTAAAAAAAAAAGTGCTGCAACACTGTTCTAATTGTGCGAAACATTCATCTTAACTTATGATGAGTACTACAACCATGTCTTGAATCACTGAAACCAAAATGAAAATTCCTAAAAACAAACAAACATTCACGCACACAAATGCTCCAATGCTATGCTGCACATTAAATGCTTGTCCGTGTGCGAAAAGACTTCTTCCAATGCACACAGGCTGAGAAGAGGGGTGCTAAGCTTTGGTTTCCTTTGTCTTCACAGCAGAACACGACATTTGTGTGGCAGCCATTGTGTAGGATAAATGAACAAACCCCGTTTTGTCCGTTCATCGGTGATTGGCAAGTTCATGAATAAACACAGACATTTGTTTGCTATATACAGGACTGACTATCATGAGGTGGTGGGTGGAGCCAGGAAGGCCTTGCAACCTAAATATTCACAACAAAGATGCTTGCTACTGTGGGAAATGACCAAACCAGTGACTTGTAGCAGAGTGACGTGTTTTGACATGTTCTGTCCTTTCAGCGCTACTGGCAGTGCACTATTATCAGCCATATTATTATTATTTCACAACGCTGTGTGCATCTAGGGAACAATATTTTGGCAACAGGAGGGCCTGAATTGGTGTGTTGACAACTGAACAGATCAGCTGCCATTTTCATTACATTTGAGAACTCAACCTTGTATGTTATATTCTATCAAATGACATTCTGTTTCAAACCTCAGGATGCCTTGATGGCATTGCATAATGTTTGTGGCAATTGGATACACGAATAGAATAGCCCATGTAATGCATGTATTTAGATGAGATGTCTGCACCCTTGTTACGTCCTCTTCTAGGAACCAACAGAGAAAAAAAAACTGCAAGAATGCTCGAGGACTTCTTTCCACGTAAGCTCGGAGAGGCCACCCACCACCAAATCGCGAGTGTTTGCATAAATTACTTTTCCTTACAACAACACTTGCTTTGTGACAATTGTAGGAGGGACAGGCAAATGTAAAACGCGTACACACACACACACAAAGTAAAAACAGAGGAGATTACAGGAGTCATTTCATGCAAACGAAATAAACAAAGGTCGTGTCCTTTTTTTCCTAGTTTTGGTTTTGTTTTCTTTACACACAAGGAGTTCCTTCCAAGATGCCCACATTCTTGCACCACACGGATAGTGAACTTTCATTCGCCAGTTGCAGACTTGTCTTGCTCCAACAAAAATTCACATGCACGCACGCACACACGCATGCTCACTTGCACGTCAACACAGATGATGTTGCTGAAGTTTCCCCACGGGCTAAAAGTTAGCTGCAACACTTGACGTCACCAGCTCAAAACACCTTGCACTGTGGCAACGCTATCCAAAGTTGTGCGCGCACGGCTTCATCCGAGAGGGGTGAAGATTCTTCTGCTTCGGCCTTTTCCGAAGTTTCTTCTTCCTTAATTGTGGTGGGCTAGAGTCTGCAAAAATGGTCCTCCGCGTCATCTGTGAGGAGTGGATAAAGGAATGGACAAGACGAGCGCATCACGCAAAGCATCGAGCTCCTATGCTGCTCGATTGTTGCAGACCCTGCTTCCCACGGCGAGATCCTAGGAAATTGACTGTCAAGAGGTTTTCGTCTGTGCCGGAAGCAGAACAATGCCACCCTTGGTGTTAAACTGAGGAAGGCCTTGCTGTGATGTCTCGTCGACGACTAGCCAATGTAGTGCGGTGCCCAACACATCTCCTTCCACGACGAGGACTGACTACACCTCAAACATATCCGCCCACTAAAGCACGAGCAAAGCTGAAAAAAAGAAAGAAAAAAAAAAAAACAATGCACTGAGTACAGCTGCACCTTCTAGGTACTGCAATATTTGAAACATCAGTAAAGCTATTTCCATTAGCACAAAAGACCACTTTCCAGCCTTTTCTTTTTTTTCCTCCTTCCCACTACAAGGAAACCACATCTCTGGGATGGACTGCCACACCTCAGTTCTCGGGTGACACAGTTGGTGTGAAGCATGAGCTCACCTGCTGTGTCCCTAGGACTGCTTGATGCGCTTGCGGGGTGGCCCTATGGGCGGGATCTGCTGGGTGGCCAGTGCTCGGAAGGCCTCGGCAATCAGGTGTGGCTGCCGGTGGATCATGGTCTTCCAGCCCGCCGTCTCCATCACATCCGTGGCATGCCTGCTGGCAAGAGCCACATAGGCCGCAACCACCACAGTCAGCACCCAACATTGGCTTCATTTCACGTTCAGACAAAGGCTAGGTAAATATTATTCCAATCCATTTTTGGAGGCAATGATCTTAAATGCGTGTGCGTTTGATCTTGTTCGTTCCTTCTGGGTCCTTTGTACTGTTTCACATTGATGATGCCTAACCAACAAGCGGGAACCCACACACTTATTGTTTCGTTCTTTCCAGCTGTGTCCCAGCATTGATAAAGCTCTCACAAATAATCACTCAAAACTGCACAAAAATTTTGAATAACAATTAAAATTGTGTTCCTATTTCATTCAGTACTCAAATTTAATAGTGCATATCTGAAATCACAAATCACTTTCAAGTAATCACCAACGGCCAAAAATGCTCAAAGGAACAAGCTATTGCAACAATGACAGGCAATATTCCTTGTTTTCATTGTTGAATTATTCAAATGCATGCGTCCCTTGTATTTACTGGACTATGAATGCTATTTTTATCACAGGATGACAGTAAAATCAATTGCCATCTTTTTTGTGGCTGTCACAGAATGCCACTTTTTCGACCCATCGTCATGCCAATCAGACCGCCGCACTCCCCCCTGCTGACAGACATGCCAGCTTGGGCATAAAAAAAACTTTTTTTTAGAGTCACGAACAGAAGGAGGCTTTAAATCTCTGAACGTTGCTTCCGAGGTACGACAGTTGTCCTGCGCCACGGCAAGGACAGCTTTTGTTAGAAGGCCGTGATGGAAGTTTTGACTGCAAAATGCTTCTGAAAACCCAGTCAAGATACTGTTTCTAGGGAAAGTGTTGGACGTGTAGAAGCCAATTGGAGAACCTTCCCCGAACTAAAAAGTGGAATGGCAAATATATTTTTAGGGCAGAGTTTCCTTTTAACAATGACACACGTATGACTGGACTCATGTCGACAACCCCTCTTCTACCAGAAGAAAACGAAGGTGCACAAAGGGGAATTTAAGTGCAGGATATAACCAGCCTAGTTGCTTGTGGTGTAGCAGTAGACCAACGAGTCTCCCTTCTAGGAGTTCTCGGTGTGCGCTTTGTATCGGCTGGCAACCTAAACTTGGCCGTTCGACTAGTTGAGACACATTTCCAAAGCAGGGCATCGGGACTTTAATATCAAGTTAGCTCAACCTGCCTGAGACCACCCTCAAGCGCTAGCTCCTGGAAGCACTGGCGATGAAACCTGGATACACCTACACTGCAGTCATGCCACAACTTTTCGGGACTTCTTGCACTCAATCGTCATGAAAGCAACGCTGTCGGTCATCTCACATATGCCCTCACAGTCTTATATGACTGAACTTCCATTTTTAAGCCCCTGTTTAAGTTAATTCACTATTTGTTTGTTGCTGGTTATCTCGTGCATACTTTACGCTTGTAAGCTCATTTATTGATTTCATATTCTTGTTTGTTCCTTTAATAAACTGTTCTATATCAAGAGAACTTGTGCCGGAATAGCTAGATTGAAGCTGCCGTTTTGTTGCCAAAACACATCCCTGATCTCTTCACTGCGTCTACTTGCATATGGAACGGACTAACCTGCTGTCATTCCCACTGCAGACTATGCCCTGGCAACGCTTCAGTAGCAGCTTTTAACAGCAAAGTTCACAATAGATTCAGCCTCACGCTGCCAATTGCTAGCTTCCTGGTTAGCTCAATTGGCACAGCAATTGCCTCGAAAAAGCATTGGTCCCGAGTTTGAATCCCGGACCAGGATGAATTTTACAGCATCTACAAAGCTTTTCTTACCAAGAAATTCGTATGGCAATTCTTGAGACTCTATGCTACAAATGAGTGGCTGTTTATTTTCTCACAAGGCCTGCAAGCAGCTTTCACTAAAACATTTTTTTCCCCTTAAAAACAACAAGAAAGAGAACCCTTTTAGAACTATCATTGAAAACAGAGGAACCTGGCGGAGGCATATCGCAAGATTTCCACAGAGAAAGCTGTGATGTCTCAGCACTGATTACCCTTTCCGTATCCGAAGCTCTGAAGATGTGACTGCATTTCTCGCAGGGACTTGCAAGAAATGCAGTGCAATTCTGTGGATATCAAGGACATGTTTTTCAACATCCCAAGGCAACATTTACTCAAGACTGTCAGTAACAATGTTTGGGAGTCTGGCGAGGCCCGATTTAAGGGAAAAAGTGAGACGTGTCTCTGTGACTTTATGAACCTTTTGACCGTGTATTTGACTTCAATGTACACAGAATTTAAAGGTTCTTTATACAGTAGAATTTCGATGATACAAATTCAAAGGGAGCACCCAAAATATTCATATCCCAATTTCACACGAACCAAAAACAAGTTTAAGCTGATCTTGAAGACGAACAAGAACTTTATTGGGGTCAAATACTTCTTGCTAAAAAAATAAATAAGTCCAGGATGTCTTTTTGAACTTGCCTCTTTTCACCACCTCTCAATGAAGTGCCGCCATTTCCTCCCTCACACTGCTGGCGCTATGAGGCACGTTCACACTTGGCATCAAAGGGAGCGACACCAGAAAAACTTATTGGAAACTCACTCGCTTTGTTGCTTAAGGGGCCGGAAAAACGTGCCGCGAAGTCAGCACAAAAAAAATCAGTCCTGGAGAATTCAAGCAAAAACGCCAGAGTGACCGCAAAACCACATCCACGCCCGTCGGAAATGTTCACATTCCTTCTGCTCGTCATATACATGCCACCCCGGTTGTCGCTGCTTGAGAACTCATTCCCGAGAATTAAAATCCATACAGAGTTCTAGTTATGCATGCAAAGCACTCAAAAGAAACAGTTTACACTTTTACAAACATTGTTTCGGAAGATACACAAGAAGAAACGACACGAGCGGACGCATCGGCGACGGCTTCAGCCGGCAGTGCAAAATGAGACTCGTTAGGGCATGCCGACTCGCTGCTGCTACACCTTCTTCTACTTCTGGTGTTTGCAGCGATCGTAGTTCAAACCAAGCTCTCAATGAACGCGCCCTTTCCAAAGCTGTAAGCTTTGACATGCTGCGCAGGTACTTCGCAATGACGTCAACGAAGCGACTGCCATGCCTTTGCCGCCATGTTGAATATACGACTGGTTGTTTACATCACGTAATTTGAGCGCTAGTGCAGCCGGTGTAGCCAAAGCCACAGCAGAAAGGCGACCTGCTATCACGTGGCGGGAAAATTGGTATTTGACAAATTTTTTCATGTCTGCCTCATGGCAAGATTTACTGGTCACGTTTCTGGCAATGAAATGAGGGAAATTGCGGTGAGTTTTGCCGCATTCACTACCTTCGAAGCTAATGTGAATGGGCCTTCTTCCCACAGACAAGCTGCGTTGCACTGCTCGCGTGCAGCGATCAATCGCGTGTTCGTATCATTCGTGGTAGCTGGGGAAACTGTTCGTATAAAAGTAAATCACGACGTATTTTATATAATGAAAACAACCTTAAAATTCATATCATCATGAAATTCGCATCAGCTGTAATTGTACCATCAAGATTCTACTGTACTCCCACAAAGAAGGTATTTCCATAGCATGACATATAGTACCTATCCTTTGCGATTAGTACATGGCCAAAGGAAACTGGATTTCTATAACCACTTTCTCGAGAACGAAGGATTTGTGCCTGCTTTAGGTACGTAGATCATTACATTCTTTGCACCCTATGAAGGAGGAACGTAATACTTTAATGAATGTTTGACTCTTGTTTGAAAGCCAAATCAAAACCTCAAGTTTACATTGGAATCCACTACCAGGGGTGTTATACAGTTCGTTGATGTTAAAATAATTCTTGACAAGCATCATACGTGTTGGGAATATAATCCTAGGGGAGAAAAATAATTATTTTGGTTCGATTCTAGGCAGTCAAAACTGGTAAAGCGGATAGTAGCGTTGCTTTGTGCGCTGCAGACTATCAAGTCATGATTTCACATGGCACTGGCCAGCCTTGAAGGTTAAATAATGCCCTGTACCCGAATAAAGTTATTTGCTCAGTTGCTGAGAAGGCCCTTGCAATCGCCATTACTAATAAGGTAGAGAGCATGCTTCATGGTCTAGTGGGAGCCCAGAAAGTTATGTCAAAGACATGCAAATTGTTTTTCAAGTGCCAAACAAACTGAAAGGACTTTGAAAGAGTGAATGAGTGTTAAAGCGGAAGGAAGGAAACAAGCTGTAGTGTTAGGCACAGAAAGAAATTTGTTAAATGCTCAGAAGGTGTAGTTTATGCCATTCCCCTCACCTGAAATAGGAATTATATAGGCTATACTGGAAGGTGGATTAATGAGAGATTAAAAGAGCATAATTATACTGTGTCGCTTCTAATGCATCCTGGTCATTTGGCTTCCCGCTGCGCCGGTTGTAAGTGCACAGCTATGTTTCCCTACACAAAAGTTTTGGCGAGATCTTTTGATAAAACAGAGGAGGGGATTATACAAACATTTTGCGTGCATATCACTGAAAGGTGCATTAGCACTCCTTCGATAGCTCTCTTTCAGAAAGAAATTAGCTTTTTGAAGGGAACCATATCGCTCCATACGTAATTCTTGACACGTTTCAGATATATTGTTTGACGCTTGGATAGGTTTTCTTTTCATTTTCTATCGCTGAACTCCCCTCCCCTCTTTTGTTTCGCATACTTAAGGCTGTGCACGATTTAAATAAAGTAGCTGCTAGTTTGCACATCACTCCATGTCATTTATGTTTTTTCCCCCTTACCTGCAATGCATATTTTCCCTTTTTCAACTCTTCCGCCACCTTGTGGGTTTCTACAAAGCTAATTTGCATCATTATGACAGTTTACAAGCTTTCTTGTATTCATGTTATTACTAACAAGATTAAGAGTCTTGATTAAATGCATTTGATCATGGAATTATATTTAGATACAGAACAAGAGTGGCTGTCATCATGACAGCCTATTCTAAATAGCAAGCATTTATGGCCAAGATATTCGTGGAACAATAATTTGATCAGCTTGATTCAAGGGGCAAGTCAGGCAGATACAAATTCACCTCCCTGATTCATTCAAGCTCATTTGTGAACCTTGTGTGTAAATCTTGTAGGGGTGCTAACACCACCTGTAAAGTTGGTTGTGCCGCGTGGCACGCATGTCTCGCGCAGAAGTCGCATTCTAAGGTCGCAACTATCAAGCTGTAAGTAGTGGTTTGCTCGGCAGCGTTTATCACCATCATCATCATTATTGTTAGATCAGTAGCACCGACGATGACGCCTGGCGGCAAGCCTGGGTGGCAGCACATGAGGGAGGAGCGCTGCTCTTTGGCGGGTGGAAGTTGGCGCGAACGGTTGTGTCTAACGGTGGGGTCTGCGGTAGACGGCACCGCATGTCGTCTGCCGTAGGCCCTCGTGGTGAGTCAAGTATTGGCAAAGCCGCCTTGTGTGTGTTCTTGTGCTTGTCATCTTGTTGAGTGTTGTGTAATATTGTGTACGGTTCTTTGACGATTGAGGCATAATAATTCGGCTGACGATATCGTTGAACTAAAAGTAGTCCACGACGAACACATAAATGAGTGTTGTTTGGTGCGTCCGACCACATCTACTGTGTCCGTTCACTCTAAGAGTGTGGCGTTCTCCATTTTGAGACCCCTCAACTTCGCCTGTAATGCACTTCATCATTCACCTGCGTGCAGACGCAATCTGCGAGGCTTTCATTCGTGTTCGATCGTGTTGCTCACTGCCGCTTAATCTCTAAACTATCTTTTTTGTGTATAGATTCATCAACTCCGTCATGGATACGGAACTTTCTTACTAACCGGCAGCAATTCACCATTGTTAATGATTTTTCATCCCCACTTTCATACGTTTGTTCTGGTGTGCCGCAAGGGAGTGTTCTCGGTCCACTGCTTTTTCTTACTTATATTAATGACTTACCAAGTAATTTATCCTCACAAAGTGCGCATTTTCGCTGACAACTGTATAATTTACCGAGCAATAACTAGTACTTGTGATCACATAGTAATCCAAAATGACCTCGACCTCATCAGCAATTGGTGTAATAGTTGGCTAATGTCCCTTAATTCAAGTAAATGTAAAGTAATGTCCTTCTCTTGCAAACATTCTAACTCTGAGTTTTCTTACTTTATTAATGGCAATCCTGTATCTCGTGTTGACTCTTTAACCTTTCTTGGACTACCCACATCACCAACATCTGCAGTGACGCGTCACGATCATTAGGCTACATACGCCGCAATCTACGTAAGATGCCCACAAATATACGTGCTTTAGCTTACGTAACATTTGTTCGCCCTCAGCTAGAATTCGCTTCTGCAGTTTGGTCCCCTCATTACAGCTATTTAACAAACATGCTGGAATCGATCCAGAATAGAGCCGCTAGATTCATCTCGCAAAACTACGATCATAGCGCAAGCATAACACAAATTAAAAAAAACTTATCACTTTCCCTTTTGAGCAGCCGACGTGATCTACACCTCCTTTCATTATTTCATAAATACGTACATGAGACAAGGCCATTATCAATGACATTGCAAACATCTGCATTCACATCAAAGAGACTAAATAATCATCGTTCATTCACACGCATATACGATAAAACATACATTTTTAACTCATCTGCACTCCCCCCGTGTCATCGGCATGTGGAACAGCCTTCCAGATGAAAACGTAGCTGAACGCAATTGGGAAAAATTCCGGCACCTTCTACTCACCCAATTCCAGGATTAACTGCTCGTTTTATTCATATCAAAATCGGCACCTACACGTTTATTCACGACTAGTATCGCTTTTTTTTCTCTTACTTTAAACTTATTTTGTTTGATGATTTGAATACTAACATGCCATTCAGTTCTGTTGTGTTTTATTCAGTGATGTTTTATTTTGAATAATGTAAAGTCTTTTCACAATTTGTGCTTGTTTTTTTTACCTTGTTTTACGTCATTATCTCAGGCATATACTCATGTGATGTTCATTGCCGTTGTATTCCTATTAAAATTATCATTAATATTTTCTCATTGTTATTCCTGTTAGGACTTGTATAATAATTGTCAATTAGTTCATGTTATTGTTTGTATGGAAATTGTACGAATTCGTGTATGCATTTCTTTTATGCTCCCCTTACACAATGCCCTGTTGGGTCTTACACAATGCCCTGTTGGGTTTGAATACCCTGCTGGGTATTCAAAGGTATTTTGAATAAATAAGTAAATAAATAAATAAATAAATAAATAAATAATTTCAGCATATTAATGAGAGCTTGCGGTGATACCTGCTGTGCAATAACCAGTGCTTTATTTCACCTTGAAACGGCTGTAGAGCCGGGAAGTTCACACGCGATATGCTGAATGGTGGCATTCAGTGACTATGCACTATGTGCCTAGGTGTGCGGCGTGTTCGGTCTCGCGTTTTGCGGACCTCTGTGCGATGATGAGCTTGGCCAGGCGGTCTGCGGCTGATGCACAATATGTCCATCCGCAGTTTCAAGGTGCCAGTGGGCGATTGGATTCATTACTCGCGACGAAGCATACTGTAACTCGTACCCTAGCACGATGTCCTTGCATAAAAAGTTTGCATTCATCTCGTATCAATGCCACGAGCAAAGCTAGCTAGTGCTCGCGACAACACCAAGCGGTATCCTCGCCCACGACGCCCGACGTTTCAAAACACAACGTGCCCGTTTGCGAGCACAGAGCAGTTCAGCTATGGTCTTTGTCAAGAAGCTTGAAATGCTGACAGGCAGAACCTATATCCACGAGTTGTTTGAGATTCCCATCTGCAACGTTCACGACGAACGCAGCAGCGCTATCCACTTTCGTGACTGAGCTCCCCGCTTGCGGTGGCCTAGCCATTCTAGCTTGCAGTACACATTGTGTGTGACTGACTGCACACTAATCAAGAGCGCAGGCATTGTAAATTGGTGCAGTTTTCGACAGCCATGATCTCGCGACATGCAAAGGCACAAGCAGCACACGACGTTCTCCTAGTTCGGCCAATGGCAAGGCGTGCTACAGCAACATGACAAACGCAACCAATCAGAGGCCTCGAGACAACCTTCAGATGTTTTTTGTGTGGTTGTTTTGAAGGATGGAGCCAGCTGAGGCGGGGAAAATGAACACAGAGAAATTATCTTTTTAACGAGGCCAAAGCAGCGGCACCTGATCGTGCTATTGTAGAGCCACAATTTAATTTTTATCGGCATTTTCCACAATTTCTGTGGTGATTCTCGCCACTTCCACTGGTGCAAGGAATTTTTAATGGAAGTTCTACGTGTTTTTCTGTATAAATGTTTTGTAGTCGGATAGAATGAAAGTTGCCGAAACTGAAAATGCAATTTCAAAAATAGATTTAAAAAAAAATTTTTGCGATGTGAAAGCCGTGCGAATAGGTGCTGCAACATACTAGAATACCAGAAGCTATGGTATTTTTTATTCTTTCCTTATACCTCATACAGTCACTCACCCAAGCAGTAGTTTGTTTCCACCATTAGGCTCTTTAGTATTTCGTTAAAATTCCAATAACCTGGATCCAAAAAGACATAATACTCTTCCTATCACCGACTCTTCTCAAGTAGTAGTAGAACGCCTTACACCTTCAACCTAACCAGCCTGCTGAAAAGCCAACTTTCTCAGGTTGACGGCCTTTACATGGTTGGTAAACACAACGCGAGCAACAACCTAATTGCACAAAAGTAATGAACTGTCGAGAACAATGGCAGAAATGCTCACGTGTTGATGAAGTCAATGGCATGTGCCTTCAGCTGGTCTGCGCTGTGCATGTCTGCCAGAATGAGCACCTCCGCAGCTGTTTCAACTGACAGGTTTGAGCACAGGGCCTCTTCACACATGACTTTTAACCGTTCCAGGGCATACTGTGAGCAATAAAAACACCAAGTGTTCTTATCACTGCTCGAACAAAATATAGCAGCCTACAGAGTTAGCTGGTTAGGACTTTAGACAAAACAATGAAAAAAAATACTCAGTCCATTTCCTATTGTCCCCACATTTAATGTGCACGTTCTGGGCTAGCTGATGGTTATGCACTGACAAATGCCACAAAATATTGTAATGCACACTTTTCTTCATACACCGTTTTATCTATAATCAGAAACTTCCAACACACAGTATCGACAAAGGAAAATAGATGAGACAGTGCGGTTTTATCGCTACATTTTTGTTTTGATACTACGACCCCTTCCTTTGTTCCCAGTACTTTTTTTTTTGTGTGTAAAGTTGGGTTGAGAGTCACAAAAGAATAAACAGTTTATAGCTTGCACTTACCTTGGCAACGTGCTTTCTGCAAATGCTTTATACTATGCTGTGCAAAGTTTCCCAGCCTATCTTCAAATGGTAACACCCTGCTCTCGCACTGCTAACTGACAATGTCTGAACACACAATCTGCAACAAAGTACAGGTGACGAACCATGCCTGGGAAACATGTGGCATCGCTAAGTGGTTGTGCAGTTTTGAGGGGTGCCCCGGCTGTAGTCATCTGTTATCTTAACAGAGCGCAGCTCTCCTAATCTCACCATCACTTTCAACAGTTCCTACTTGTGCACCTTCACAGATCCTTAAGGGGGCGCTAAAGTGAGCTCTCAATAAACTAGCTGCCTTCCCTAGTGGAAAAAACCCCCTCACTTGGTAAGTGCTATTCTTTCTAAGATAGGATGCTGAAAACTTTGGTGATTATGTACTAGGGCTACTTATTATTATTATCTCCTCTTATCTGAAGCATGTTCACATGTACACTTAGTACTGAGAGCTCATGAGGTAGGTAGACATACCAGAGAGATGCGCAACATATATAGGTCATCAGATTATCATTGTGGCTTTCACTCAATGGCCAATTGGGCCTTGAGCCCAGGAAAGGAGCCGATATCAAACAACAACAATGTCTTTTAAGTATACCATCCCATTAACTTTCACACTAATTATTCATTGAAATTTTATTCAATAACATCTTAATAAACTGACAGCACAAATTTGTGAACGAAATGTCAATAAAATCTGCAGACATGCCACAGTCAAACATGAGTAACTTTATGGCTTCAGCTTTCCTGAAACAAAACTTATGAAATATCAAAGTTGCCATTTGAATGACTGAGAGAAAGCACTTCTCTTTCACTATTTCTAAGCGTATATTAACTCTGATATCAAAAGACTGGCAAAAATGTCAGAGTTCACCACTTTGGAATTATCGAACAAATCGTCAAAACAAAAGGAAAATATACACGTCACAGGCAGACCTTCAATTCATCAAAAAAATTTGCACTATTTTTGTGTGCCTCAATGTTGAAATCTGCAAGAACCATCTTCAACCTTATCAGGCAGTAGTGTGTACCCTCATTGCTGCGAGAACCGACACAAACTCCTCGAGGACAGCGAGGGCTTCGGCGGCCTCCTGCATAGTGTGATGTGGCATCATGCAAGCGACATAGGACTGCCCAAACCATTCTATCATATGTGCATTCTGCTTTTAGTAGACACCAGATGCACCGGCAGCCCAGACGCTTCTGCTAGGTGATAAGTAGTGCCACTTCCCCCTCATTCACTAATATAGTCATGATCATATTCTGCCGCAGTTGTTAATTCTGTTTTGGCTTCTGTAAAACACGGGTTCCGCCATCAGTCGCGGTGTGCAAAGCTTGAGCCTCTAAACCGCCGAGATCACATGACTCAAAGCTTGGAGCCCTGATGGCCCTCTCCGAAGTTGTCAGAGTTAAATGGTGCGTGGCTATATCCCTCAAAATTAACTAACATTTGACACCTTCGAATGTACGATTTTTCCGAGTTTGAGTTCACCAAATATCCGAGTTGATGACATCCAGACAAATGAGGTTTTACTGTAGCAAAAGATACCATTTTCAAGAAGGCTTTACTGAATACTGCGAAGGGAAGCATGGTTCAGAATGTCTTGGAAACAGTGGTAGCCACACCAATCCAAAGGTGCCTGACCTTATCGGCAGCAGCCAGGAGGTCATCGGCCATCTTGTCAAGGTTGGGTGCTCGGCCGGTGTAGATGAACCGCAGCATCTCTCGCAGCACCTCGTGGTCCATGTCTGTTATCTCCACACGGTTCTGCTTCTTCTCTTCCATCTCGTGCTCAAACATAGCCGCAAATACTGGTGACCGGGCTGCATGCACATCCAAGAAAAACAGGCTTTTCTCACGTCAGAACTCATAAAAATGGTTTCATGAAGCTACGAGAGGTGCAAGGATGCACACATGCTTCTTGATACGACACACTTTCCTAGTGTGTCGCCTAGTTCTACACAAGCCTCGTTCTTACAGAGAGCAAAGCAGAGTAGGTCAAAGCATGCGGTTGTTGTACCTGCAAGAATGGCCTTGTGCGCATAGAATTCCCGGCCGTTGACACTAAGGATGACGTCGCTGAACTTCTGGCTCTCAAAGAGGTGCCCGAAGTCATCAGACAGCCGGCACTCAGGGACCTTGAACTGGATAGCGTTATTCTGCCCGGAGATGTTCACCGAGTCCGCAACAACGCTCACCTTCAATGTGGACAAGATTGGTAACATGCGACAACATTAACTCCTCAACATGGCACACAGAGAGGCAAGGCAGACCATTACTAAATGATTGGGAACTTATCCAATGGCCAGTCATAGCACTGGTATGACGATTCACTACAAAGCTAGTCACTGTTCAGTATGACTTAATTGTCATGGCCACCGTAGCAGCCAGAATTCCGATTAGCAAATGATAATTTCATACACAACATTTCCAGCATAATGGCTGCACCAACAAGTCTGACCATATTAAATGAGTAGGCATTTCCAAGCTGAGTGAATGAGAAAACTGTCCTTTTGGCTGTCCAGCACTCTCACACAAGACAATTGCCACCCTAAATAATTAAAGAAATAAACAAATGAGAATCAGTGAAGTTCACTGAATACTACATTAAAAACCATTTATTAGTAGGACAAGATGTAAAATTGACAAGAAGGGCTATACAGATTAAAAAATTCTATCTTTGCGGAAATTTGATGCCAAAACAGACATTCTGGTGGTTGGTGTATACAGTAAACTCTCGGTAAACAGAAATCTGTTAAATGGAACTATTTCCTCTGTAACACTTGCTTTCGGGCTTGTATTCTGCACCTATGTTCACCTCTCAGTAAACGGAACTCCTGTTGAATGGAACATTTTTTCCCAATCCCTTCAGGTTCCGCTTACCGAGAGTCTACTGTATCTGTGCCATGGGCCCATTGAATACGCTGAGAAGCGCTAAGACAAAAAACGATGCCACACAAAGACAACGTTCCAGAGACACTTTACTACCTGCAACAAAGCGTTATGCTTACACATCACTTGAACAGCTCTCAAAGAAAGTTCTGCATAAAAAAAAAAGAAAGTGCTATCATTGCACCAGTAAGCAGACTGATTTAGCAATCGTAATGTGGAAACAAAACGCATGAAATGTGTGTGAGGTGTGGAAGAATAAATCTGTTACTTTTCGTATATCATATTGGCACATGCGCTACAAATCAGCTCACCAGAACAGTAACCAGGCATATGCAGAGAGCAAACAGCCCTCCTTCTGTTTTTCAGAGATTCGAAATATGTGCTCCTCCGTTCTCATCGTTTCATTCACTGCTTTCATTCTCCTGACGAAGGCGAATAAAAAAGAATGAATGCATGCACATTCAATAAAGCATTTGCTTAGAAGCATGCAGCGCACTCTTCACACATAGCAGGTTTCTTGAAATTTGATCCACGACCGAGCAATGGCCCCACCTTCCCCTTCGAAATCTTATCTGACTATGCATCACTGTAGGGAGAGCACTTGCACGAGATTTCACGGTGTTTCATAGCAGTAATTGTTTTTCCATTGACCTGTGGTTATTTCTAAAGCTGCCGCAAAAGGGATTTGGAGAAAAACTGACAGCTCTGTTGTAGTCACCTCTTGATTCTGTGCGTGCTTTTTCTCTGAATCATGCATGCACCTACTCAGCTCTGTGACAGTCGTGGCGGAGTGATAAAAACTGGGTCACGATGCACACCTCGCAGTAGAGAGTAAGCTTGTCATCAGGAAGGAGTCCGTTGGCCTCGTCGAGCAAGAAGTCTCTTCGAATAAACTTCTTGAAGCCCCAATCCTTGCCTTGAACAAAGCGGTACGCCCTTTGACTCTCTGCATGAACAGATAGTGATACCATGAGAGCCTGGAGATTTTCTTTTCACAAAGGTCATCAAACAACCACTAAAGATGGGCCAAAGTACTAACTTTGCAATACATGTTACGTCACAAGCAGATTCTCAGCACTGGGTACCCACACATAATGGTCACCGTGACTTTTTATCTCATTAGTTTCATTGCAGGACAAGACACACAGTTGTCTTTCGTGCTTCCCCTGCTTTCTTCTGTTCGCCACAAGGGTGAACACGAAGGAACGCCAGGCGGAACCGGCACCCTTCTCAAGTCACAGTTTCAACGTCTCAACCAGCTGGTACTCAGAGATGGCAGCCACAGTGACATCAGTGCATACTATGTATATACATGCAATATATTCCGTTTAAAAAAATTTTATTATGACATTTTCAAAGACAAAAAACTGATGAAAGCGCAGTTTATGAAATGTGACATTTCAATAATGCTGTGCTTTTATAGTGCAGTCACATCCCAATATGTAGGTCCAAACATTTCGAAATAGATGCTCTGGAAGTGGCCCCGATGTTTTTGCGTGAAGATTACTTAATGCTAATAAGGGATTCATAATATGACAGCACCATTTTAAAGATTCCGGGTCATGCAAGAGGCATTTCAATTTTCATAATGCAAAAGAAGGCACAGACGCATTTTTTTTCTTACACAACATTAACTCTTTCTCTCTTGTTGATGAGTATAATCGCCCAGATGTATTGCAATAAAATAATTGATGGCCACTATCATCATCAATAAAATCAGTCTCACTTTTAAACAAACACATCATAGTTGTGTTTCTTGGCACTAGATGGCCATACTTGTTTGTTATATGTGTCCTATTAATGATAGTTACTATAACCACAACATAATTATGAGGGATTTCTTTTTTTTACTGTGAACAAGGCTTCCGTGTGGGAGCCAAAATGTCCTTTTTCTGTGTGTTTTTTTTTTTCATTTTAAACTTTTACTTTGGTTGGCGCAGTGCCTCCAGGTTTTTTTACCTTCAACCATGAGGGACGCTCTATCAATAATGATATTATTTGAGGTTTTACGTCCCCTAACTAAGACATGATTATGAGAGGCGCCGTAGTGAAGGGTTCCGGAAATTGTGTTTTTTAACATGCACTGATAATGCACAGTACATGGGACTCAACCATTTTCGCCTCCATTATTATGCGACTTTTGGGTTTGCAGCCGGGCACCATAACCAGTGCGGCAAACGAGCGCCGCCGCAGTGGAGGGCTCCTTAAGGGGACACTAAAGGCAACTATTAAGTCGACATTGATTTTTAAATAGTGGTCCAGAAACCTCGTAGTGTTACTTTTTGCCAAGGAAGGGCCTATTTTGAAATAAAGTCACATTTCAGTGATCTGCATCAGGTTCGGGCACTTCAAATTATCCGCCTCAAGAAGCAGACCGACCTGACCAACTCACGTCACTGTTGCCGTACGCATCGTTGCTCGGCTTTACTGCACTAGTAGCAGCAGATCGAAAGCAGCGGGAGCAACAGTAGCAAGAACAGCCACTGATCAATTTCCCGCTCTTGACTTCAAGATTGCAGACATTTTTTGTTTCAACTGCACCCCATAGATAGCACCACTTGTCCCATGTATCGACACAAAAAATGAATTTTTGAACCACTCGCGCCATTTCCCACAGTAATGTCTGGCAGTTATTTTTTTTCATGAATCAAACAGAAATGAACGAACAGCATTTTATTGCATCTCTTGATGCACTGAAAGTTCTTTATTTCTAAGGCTTTTTTCTACAATCCCCCATCTGTTTCTCACAAAGAAGGCAAATAAACTTATTATTATTTTTATTATTTAGTGCAGTTAGATCGATTACTAATGATTAATTGTAGGCGGCCTGTCTGGTGTCACCGGAATCATTTTGAAAATGTCCTACTGTGGCACTTGTGTTCTTGTGCATTTACCTCAATTTCTCTGTAAGTAGGAGACTGTTGTTCACAATATTGTCGTTTTAGATGTCATATATTGAGCTTTAACTCTGACCTAAATTGTTATTTGACTTTAGTGTGCCTTTGAATTTCAATCGCCTAGGGTTCTTTGATGTGCAAATCTAAGTACACGAGCCTCGAGCATTTTCACCTTCATTGAAAATGCAGCCACCACAACTGGAATTTAATCCCATGACCTGCAGTTCCAAGTCGTGCCGTGCCGTTTGTGCCTCGTTCTCAATTTTATAGCCATCTTTCATTGTATTACCATGCTGACAAGCCATCTTCAAGCTATCTTTTTCATGCAATTAGCAAAATAAACAAACTATATTGAATTGAAGTAATAGCGAAGTGCTACAAACAGAGCAATAAAAAGTCAGGTAAATCTGGTACAGCTTTCACGGCAAGGGGGGGGGGGGGGGGGGGGAGAGAGAGAGACAGCACAAGCTTGGTGCCAAAGAAGGTAACACAGCAGCACCTGGCCCACTGCAGAGTCCTGTGCATAAGTTTGTGCGTGAAAGCATGTGCTCACCCATGGCCTTGGTCTCTTCCCGCTTGGCGTTGAGGATGGAAAACTTGAACTTGGCACGGACCTCACTCTTGTTGCAGGACACCAGCAGCAGGTACAGGGACAGATAGTCCTTGCTCTCTTCATCCAGCCCCTTAGGATTCACCCTTAGGCACCTAGGCATCACGAGCATACTCTAGATCATTATTGCTTCCATAAAGGCCAACACAAGATTACACAACAGGGCAGGCCTTAGTGCACAACAAACAGATAGAAACTACTGCAATGAACAAGTTTTATTTAAAAAAAAAAAACTGAGGATGTACACCTCTGCAGTTGTTGCACATGTAAAGCTCAAGAGGTGCTTCTACATATAGTGACTTCTTCCGCGTTTCAGTCCTACAGATCAGCAATCATTGTGAAAGCTACAGGAGTTACATCTATCATTTCGTATGATAAACAAGCAGATTTCCCTGTTTATCAGAGTTATTTTTGATAAAAATCTTAGTTTCACACATTGTGTCATGAATGTTCATCTCAGGGTCTGTAAGTCAACAGGCATATTGCTTAGGATCAGGCACTTCTTTCCCATTTGGTTGAAAGTCATTTGTATCCCCCATCAATTCCATCTCACCTTAGTTATTGCCTACTGATTTGGGGAACCACATGCCCACTTAATATGAACCAGCTCATAATTTTTCAGAAGCAAGCAGTTCCTTCCACAGAAATGCCAGAGTTCATAATGCAAGTGTTATGGCCTTTAAAAAATGCAGTACTTGCATAAATGCTCACTATTGTATAGAGTAAATGCTAGACATCAGATAATGCGGATACAATCTCTGGTCGTGGCCAGCATTGTTTAATGGCATCAAACTCATTATTTCAGTAGAATTTTGTCATAACTCAGTCAATTCAAACGATCTTCTCAACACACCGAACACGAAACGCCACAATTGTGTGGCACAGTTGGCCTTGCCATCATCATCATTTCAAATCACTCAGTGATGACAAGAAAGCTAGAATGCTTCATCTGGCTTCAAGCCTATTTACATTTATCATCGTGCGTAACGCCTCATTGGCCGCAAGTATTCAAAAAAGCATAGTTTCCATACACAATTGCACTTTTAGCAACCAATGCATCTTTTAATTTCTTTCAATGCATCTTTTAATTTCTATTATTATTATTATTAGTTTGTAATTTCTTTCAATTATTAGCAAAAAAGAAAGTATCACCGCATTTGCATTGTTTTTATGCTGTTCCTATAGAAACTAAGCACGAAATTGAACCATTAATGAAAAAAATGAAGGTGTACTCATGTAATAAACAATTGACACTTTTGATAATTTGGAATTACGTTAAGAAATTTTTTTGAGCGCTGTGAAATTCAAATGAATGAGCTTTTGCTGTATTTAGGAAGTGAATGCAAGAAAGATGTACCTTTATTATTCTTCAAAGGTACCCTTCAATTAACACCCTATACAATTTCAAGAACAATAGCTTCAATGTTCACTTTTCTAAGACTGTCCACGCTGCAAGACAGCTCACATGTTTAATCCCATCATTTATGAATGCATATCCAAGTACTTGGATGTGCACAAAACTACAGATCACTGAGGTTTTCTTAAAATGCTATGAAAACATACTTGCTTTCTACTATGAATGAATTTTGTGCCAACATGTTTATCATTCTACACATTGTTTTGGTTAGGTAAGTGCTGTATGCATAATTATTTTTTTATCTCTCATATTATCTGTCACATTGTGCTTGTTATCATTAGTGTGTTATTACAATGATGATTAGCTTAGACCAAATCGTTATTTCTTAGAAAGTACAGTCCATTATTTCTTATTTACCTGTACTAATATTTATGCTTGTGATTCTTTTGCACGAATTTCACGCATGCCCTTGTTATCTGTGATGCCTCACAGTTGGAGCAATGTGTAGATGACAATAAGGAAGAGAACGTTCTTCCTCTAGCATTGCCATCTGAAGCTCACTCTGTGTCAGAAATATTTCACAACAAAATAAAAATATAACAAATTGTTATATATAACAAATCGTAAAACTACCATCTAGAGTTGGTCACACTCGATGTTTTTGGTAGCGTGCATGCAAAGCTTCCTCGAGATCAAACAAGGTAATGTTGCAAGCGTACCACTTCAGCTTGTCATTGGCCCCCGCAGAAAACGTCGAGCTCTTGAGCACTTCCCCCATCTCTTCGCGGCAGAAGCTGAAGTTGTTGATGGTCCACATGTAGGAAAACTTGATCACTTTCACCTGAGCAACAAAAAGAGAGGTGGCTTCAGAGCACATTACACAATAAGAGCTGGGACAAAGGCAACAAGTCTGTACAGAAGTACCACATTATTTCTGAATTGATTCAACTACTATACGCAAGCCCTTGCAGCTGCACGCACAGCCAAATCAAAAATAGTATGGCTTCATGCTATACCAGAAGGCACATGTGGTTCATAAATGAAAGTCGCACACTCTATGGCCTAACAGTGCAGCGGGCCATAAGGTGAAAAACAGCCAACATGTAAAGAAGAGTGTATATAAAAATAGCAGCAGCCTATGCAGTATTTATAAACAGTGATCCCAGACAATTTCAGAAAGGAACATTTTTTATGTGCCCCCTCTTATTCAACGTCGGTCCACTGCAAGCCTGGGGATCAGTATTTTGCACTAACACCACAAGTGGGCAGCTTGTCCTGTTAGGTGATCTTTTGGGACTGCCATCTACATTCTAAGCAATGTGATTTTTTTTTTAGATATTACTATAAAGGTGATAAGATAGGTGATAGAGCCATGTTAAGTACAAGTAAGTATTAGTTTGAAAGTTAACTAGCAAGCTTTCTCAGCTATTGGCGACCGATGGTGACGCTGCGAACTGCGCTTCAGTGACATCAGTTTGAGGATTCGCGCGCTTTCGAGGTGGGGCGGTGTATAAAAACAACTGCCGTGGTAAAATTTGGCAAACACACACTTCAGTTGGTTATCTTGTTGTGGTGGCTACTGACGCTGTTGAAAAACCATGGGTGCCCGCTTTCAGCGTTCATTTTAAAAGCACAGCGCTTTGTTTCTCAAAACTGCAGCCGCTTGTTTTCGGGCCGAGTGCTGCACAATGGTGGAATACTGCACTGTGCCTCTATATGATCACCCACTCATGAAAAGGGCGTTAGCGTTCACAACACTATCTTAAGGACCCGAAGCCGAGGAAGAAGTGGATAGTCAAACTCAGAGAGGGAAAGCGCCCCACTTCTTCATCAGCAGCAAACACTTTGCTGACAGTGACAATTTGCAATTTGCCAGTACCACACGGCCCTGTGTGGTACTGGTAGGAACTACTTCATGATGTCGCTCTCATTGAACAAGCATTATTGAGACAAACTGCAGTCAATTGCATGGGCCAAGGCGTGCATGGGCCAGGGTGGCGGGAAGGGGGCGGAACTTGCCCCCTTCCCGAGTCACACCAGCACCTACCCCTCAAGACATTTTTTTTACAACGATACAACACAGGCTTGCACCCTGTCAACGTCCATAACTGCAATCCCAGCACGATTATCTCAAATTTGGTAATTTGATGCTGCTTTGCATTTCCAGTAGATGCCGCGCAGGTTCGATTGAGTACCAAAACAGTATTTATCTGATGTATTGTTTCCCAATGCCAAAGTGGCAGAAATCAGCTATTCTCACACATATCCTCGAGTTCATTGTCGCTATCGTTACAGTGCAGAAAAAAATATCCCAAAGAGCAGGCATGCCCTTCTCTTTAGAATTGTTGTGAAAGCTAACGTCCTTTTCACGAGCGAATGAAGCACAGCGAGGCACAGAGCAGTACTTCACCATTGCGCAGCCCTCGATCGCCACAGGGGCGTTGTGCGCCGGGCTCGTAAGTCCACGTGTTTGCAGGACCAGAGCTGCGACAGTGATGCGATCTCTATTGACAGCATCAACTGCGCACACTCAACAAGGAGGCCTATGTCGTACACCACCACGCCGTCAATGAGACACTTCGACGTTTTGCTAACTGTATCTACATGCTTGTAGATGCTCGAGAAAGGCACGCTTACTGAAATTTCTAAACATTCGAACTAATTATTATCTCAAGGTGAAAACTACAGGTCACGAGCGAGATCTCAAACACAGTTTCACTTTCTGACCAGCAATGCGGGTGGAGGCATCGGCGTGCTTATCGGCCATCTGGGAGGTTTCTTGGCTGTGTTGATTGGGCTGCAACTAAAACAAAATCATAATTGCACTCGAAAGCAATCGTTGTGGCCGTTAGTTGACCCTCCTGAGGCTTTGCGTTCGGCAAAATTCCCACCCGAAGAAGACGATCCGCGCACAGGAGCAGCGGCTGCTGCTGCACGGCTGAGAGTGGAGTCCATAAACTGACGTCACACGCGAGAAGGCTCAACTTTATTATTTCGAGGCAAATATCAGCCTTAATGTGTTCTCTATGCACATTACTGCTTCTTCCTGTGCATGCATTGTGCAACTTTGTGAGACGGCAGGGTAAAAAAAGTTTACCCCTGGCTTACCAACAAGGTTCCACAGGTACCTAGCAGTATAAAAAAAAATATAGCCCTTAATTCAAAGCAGAGCACAGCCCAGGGCTAAATGGCTCCTGGTCGCCATCCATGGCTGAAGAAAACGCGCATAAAATATGCTATGTATGTGTATGGCAGTCTATTATGCTGTTTTCAAAGGAGATCTAACAGGTGTCAGTGGCCTTTGCCATGTAGATAGGACAACAGATAAGAAGGTTCCACATCAGTGAGTCGGCAAGAAAGCAGTGGTCTTAGCACTGCTCTAAGCCGCTGTTTCTTCCGCATGCAGGCCTTTTGTGTGATTATCTTGCTGTGATTATCAACTTCCTTAGCTGGCATGGCGCTTGCACCACTACCAACAACAAGCCTCGATCTATAGCCAATCCACAGATGCCGAGCACTGATGCCCCTTACGTACTCACTGAGGACCGACCAGCCCCCATCAACAACAGCAATCACTCCCAACAGCTTTAAGAAGCAACACCTGGACTTGAGTGGGCACGAGAGCAGTGGTCTTTGCACCGCTCTAAGCCACTAATTCTTCACCATGCGGGTGTGTAGTCCTTCACTACATGTTAAAAGATTTAACTGCTGTCTACTGCTGTTCTTGTGCCCGAGGGTGTTGTGCGAGACTTTGTGCAAATGTTTTTCAATGGCATATATTTTGCTTTGTTCCAGTGACATTCAAACTAACCCTGGACCCGACACTCTTACCGCAGTACAACGAGAATTTGATGACTTACCCAAAAATCCTGCGGAACAAATAAACCTATCATTACAAATGTTCAAGATATGCTGTTGTGCTCTTTACAGAGCTTGAAGTGTCAGTCAGAGCTTGCTACTGATGGTAAAGCAATTAAAGCCACACAAAGAAACATTCCCACAGAAATGACTGGCATCTAGAAGTGGCTTGACAAATTGAAAAGAATATCTACAAAACTGGATGATTATCACGGAAGAACTGCAATTTGCGCCAAAAACCGTGGAAGAACTAACTGGTGATAATTGCCATGTGCAACATAAACCAACCTAGCTAGAGGACAGGTCGTGAAAGGGACAATTTAATCTTTGACAGAGTTTCAGACTCTAAAGAAACTTGGCAAGAAACCACAGCAAGATAGACAAATTTTATTTCTGCTATTCTTGACTGTTTTCCCTGTGAGTCATTCTAATGAGTGCACAGTTTTAGTAACCATTTACCTACTAAGTGCTGACCCATTGTTGCCAAGTTCACTAACTTCAAAACAAAACAGAAAGTACTGTCACTGTGCAATCAACAAAATGATAATAAGAACATCTCAGCCAGCAAAGATTTTTCTGTTTCAACAAGGCAGGCCTGTAAAAACCTTGTTGACTTTGGGAAAGCTCAGCCCGGTTCACCACCACTCCAGCTGCGTTACACCAAGTTGTTACTAAATAACAAATGTTTCGTGTATTTTTCCAGAGTGTGACAAAGCTTTAGAGGTGAATAAATGTATTAATCATTTCCGTAATGCACATTCTTCAGTAAATACTACATAGGGTTCCATGAAGGGAAGTGACCCCATATCACATCCCCAGCTATCGGGTTCTTTTTCTATATGATCAACTATTGATACATGTAGCGCAAAGGGAGTAGCTTGGATAGAAACATGGCTCCACACATGTCGGTAATCAAGCAATTTTCTACGATGCAAGCCACTTTAACTTATGCCCTTGTGGTTAGACAATGCACAGGAGAGGTGGCGTTCTTCTCAAAGGATATTTCTTCTTGTAAACTTTGCTACAACACGATTTCCATCACATCCCCTGTTTCTGCTTGGAGATTCTAACTTTTCGAGCATAATATGAAACGTAAGCACACTTTACTCATTACCGTTTTCGCCACAGCCGAGTGAATCTTAATTTATGTTCAGTGCTTTCTCTAACGCAACTAAAAACCTTGCCAATTAGGACATAAACTAGTAGTGCCAGCATTCTCTATACAATATTAACAAATCAACCAGACTGTTATCGCTATAACCTATACACCAGGCATCAGTGATCATTCATTACTATACTTTTCATTTAATGCATCCTGTCCTAAAGAAGACAAAAAAGAAACGGTATGGGACAATAATAAAGCAAAGTTTGACAAGTTTAACAGTAAACTAGCAAATTGCTTAGACCCATTTTTAATTAGGCAGTTTTAATACACGTTCAGTGTAGTCTAACTGGGACATCTTTACAGCTGAAGTTGATCAACTTGTGACATCTAACGCGCATGCACCATGGCACAATGCTCACCTCAAGCGTTCATCGAACTGGAACATTTTTATGCCGTAATTATTTACCTACTGACGACCTACACTGGGCTGCCTATAAATCTGCATCATCCATTTACATATCTGCAATAAATTCTGCTAAAGATGACTTTCTTACTGATGTTTTGTTGTACATGTTACAAGCTAACTCAAAATTTTTGGTGAATCATTCATCCTCTATACAACAACCATATTTCTTTGACCAACTCATCCGGTAACACAATTAGTGAAGCCCATCGCACTGCTGTTGACTAATCTTTCATCGAAAACTTTTCCTGTAGATAGCCATAATGAACTACCAAACTTTTTTCCGTAGATAGCCATAACCTAGCGTGATTTTACACAATTACTAAACCCTGTCATTAGTGGTTATTCAACCTTTTAGAGTTATACACCTCATTGAATCACTTAAGAATTATTTGTCTCCCGGTTTAATGGCATT